TTCTTATACAATTTTTACATGTTATTAAATAAATGTATGTATTTAATATTATGGATCCTACATAAATTAAAAAAAACAAATTATTTAAATAACATGTCAAGTTGTATAAAAAAATGAGACAAAAAAATTATACAAAAATCATTTCTTGAAAATTTACATTTTTAATCTCCTTTTGGTTGCGGCAACACTGACAAGGGAAACCAGCTAGGGGTTTTGGATCATGCTGTCTCAAGGCTATGAATTCTTCTTTCTCCTCTCCTCTTCTCTTCTCATTCTCCATTCTCCTTCCTCAATCAGCACATGCGAGTTTGTAGATCTGGATGAAAGAGGGGAAGAATAACCAACATGATTGGAGATGTAAATAGTGTTAACGGTTTGAAATCATCAACACCTTCAGTCTAGATCCAATGATGAGCAAACTTGCAAAATCTTGAGGTTAAATTTTAATATAAATACTTTAATACTTAAATTAAAATAAATTAATTAAAAATTTTTAAGTTAGATTCAGTATTTGTTTAGGGTTTTTTTTTTTACTAATTTCTTGGTATCTGATAACAATATTAGGTCCCGATTAATTCAAAATCGAGTCGCGTCGGACTCTATTTGAAGAAAATTCTTCCTGTGCCTATTTCTCCATCCACAAGACTCGATCTCAAAATTTTATTTAAGGAAACCAAACTTTTTTTACTAAAACCAATAGACCATTAATCTCTATAAGGTATTTATAAGTCTTGAAGTAGTATCTATATAATTTTTTCATTACAATAATCAAATTATGACATAATTAGTAACCATAATCTCAATATGCCTAGCGTGCAATGAGGTCGGACTTTTATGGATAATGACAAGGCGAGAGCTGGAAGATTGTCCTCGGACGCCTTGAGGTCATTCTCGGCCATTGCAGGATTGTCCGAGGTCATTCACTTTGGACATATACTGACACATGAAAAATTGTCCATGATGGAGAGAGAAGAACATATCTGAGTTTCGAATAAGATCTCAAGAGCTATAGTGATGAGATTGGATCTAATCTTGGTTTGAATAACTCTAGAGATGAACAAAATGAACAGAATTTGGGATTGAAGGGCATGGAATTTGGGTTTGGCAATTTGTGGTTTTTGCTTCGATTTGGTCTTTTTGAATGCTCATATAAACCTAGCTTGGTTCTCTGGCTCTGCAATTGGTGCTCGAGGGTGTGTGATTTGATTTGCAGACCAACAATGGTGCTAGAGGAGAGGAACAACGCCAAAGAAGCAATGTTTTTGAACCCGGCCCGGCCCGGCCGGTTGAACCAGTTGAACTGGACCCGGGCCTGAAAACGGGCCGGTTGAAGGCTTCAGCCCGTTTAGGTGAATGGCCCGTTGAAACCCGTTGAAACCTGTCAAACCCGTCGTGCCCGCTGAACTCGTGCGACCCGCTACGCTCGCCCGGGTTGAAATTTTCACCATCTTTTTAAGTTTTTGTCTTTTTTGACTAAAATTAAAGTTTAAAACTTAAATTAAAAATCAAGTAAACTAATTAACTAAGTAAAAACTAAAACCTAAAAACTAAAAACGCTAAGAATCTAAGATCATTAGGAGCTCGGGACAGTGGAAACAAATTGCAAAACCCAGATAGGAGGAACCAACAGAACTGCAGAAGGGTTTTCCGTCGATCTTCTCTTCGCCGATCGTCCGTCGATTTCTCTTCCACCGATCGTCCGTCGATCTTCTCCTCTGTCACTACACTTCTTCTCTTTCGATAGAAAAGCAACGGACAGAAGCATAACGAAGCTACCGCCTTCAATCAAGAGAAACTGCGCAGCATCAGCCCCACAGTGGACGGCAATCTCGCGGCCAGTGCGATCTCGCGGCTAGTCTCGTGCCAGACTGCAAGAAGCTTGGAAAAGAGAGCAGCAAGGCCAGGCATGCGGCGGTGGTCGCTACAGAGCTTGAGGAAGACGAAGATGAAGACGCAACAAAAGAGACCGATTGTGGAGATGTTGAGAAGGTACTGGATGTTGCCATACCAGGCGCCGTCCATTTCGGCGTCACCGTCGAAGGCAGGGGAAGGAGGAGGAGAGGGAGTTTGGTTCACTGGGGCGGGGGATTTGGAGATTAGGGTTTGGGTGATTGGGTTTTGGGATTTTGATTCATGAAGGAGAAACTAACCTACACAGTAAAATTCAATAA